ATCTGGGTTATACTGTCAACAGTTTCAGGTCAACATCTGGGTTATGCTGCCATCAACAGTTTCAGGTCAACATCTGGGTTATGCTGTCATCAACAGTTTCAGGTCAACATCTGGGTTATGCTGTCGTCAACAGTTTCAGGTCAACATCTGGGTTATGCTGCCATCAACAGTTTCAGGTCAACATCTGGGTTATGCTGCCATCAACAGTTTCAGGTCAACATCTGGGTTATGCTGTCGTCAACAGCTTAGATGCTGTCACATTACCAAGAGAGGAAAACATACGTAGAACATCACTGTACACAGGTCTTCTTAAATTGGCTTCACGTGCATCTAGTATAGAAATAAAGGATTTTATATTAAACTTATCTCTTGAAGAGAGTTCATCTAAGGCGTCAGGACCAGGTGCACTTCCGTCATTTCCCTGATGTTTCTGTAGTATTTGTCTCCTTGTGACAGTTATGTAGTTGACATTTGGCAAGGTGGGTTTTGCTTGTTGCTCAAGCTTAGCAAAATTTTCTATAATTTTGCTTAAAAAATCCTGAGGTGAACTGCACAAATATGCTTAAGTACTCAATAAAATTTCTAATTTCTGACTGACTTTGCTGACCTTGTGAAAACGACCTAACACACGGGTCCAAAGTGCAGCATAAACATTAATTCCAGTTCTTCCATTTTCTACAAAAGATTGTTAGCTTGATGCCTGGTATCAGCCTTCTCATTAACATCAGAGTACAAGTGACTGACGGCCTCAGTAATAGCACTGTAACTTTCCAAAATATTTTCTGTAACTTTTACATGTGCCTCTGACTTAGTGTTTCACAAATATTTAGGAACTTATGACTGAGTTTGCAAAAATGCTTTCAAAACTACACTTCTCTTTGTAGAGGATGCAAAGGTATAAATGTGTTTGATATTGCCAAAGTAGTTGACTACATCAAGGTAGCAATCAACGGCCCACCAAATATAAGAGTGCTCAGCGCATGGAATAAATCTTTCAATTTTTTTCTATGATTTTTTGCTACATATCATTGTACCTACAAGCCATGTTGACAGCATTGTCGTAAGACTGCCCTCGCCATTTTCTAAAGCCAGTTTCAAGCTCAGAAGTGAGATAGTTAAAAACTAAATCAGTCATGCTTTCTCCTGTGTGATCTTTTAGATCAAGGAAATTTAAAAATCTCTGACAAGCTGAAACATCCGACCTTTTTCACGTCAACCAAAATTGCGTCCATAACTTTTTTTGGCCATGAGTTGAATCGTTTCCTCACATACAGTTTCTGCCACATAAGAAGGAATTTCTGATCCGAAATTTCCATATTGATTGATATGAGCGAGTAAAAATGGATCAGATTTTGCTACTAGTTCTAAAAGACTTAAGATAACTGTCGTTATTTGGAGATCCAAATTTTTCATTTTCTCCTGATAATGGTAAACCTGGTTGTGCCAGAGTTCATATTTACAGCGATAATTGTTTCCATGACATGCCGCCAATACTGCCGTTTTGCTTTTATTTGTTCCTCTAGGTTTGTAGTTAATGTTTACCCTCGCTGCTCTGTTAGGTAGTAGGTCAACATGGCATTCCTGTGCTTCTCTGAGTTTTCAAAAGTTTGGATAAGATAGGAGTTCCGCTAGTTATTAAATTTTCTAGAAGCTAAAGCTGTAGCAGAAGATGCAAGGTCTGAAAAGAGTTTACAAAGCAATAAATCCGGCCTTTTTATGGGAGAATACACAAGCCACTCCCGGCTATATGTTTCCCCATTGACTTTTGTTGAATACCTGTGTTTTAACTTATCTATCTCACTGCTTTCCTGGAAGGACAAAATCCATACAAAAATTAATTTTAGTGTCGAGTTATTGGCTTAAGACAGTATTATTCTGCAGTGCAAGGAACATTACTGAAGGCTTGTTCTGAGACTACAGTGCGTTATGACAGAATGTGTAAGAAAGGCCTATGACAGTGTCAAAAATATTATACACCTTGGCCGAAGGCCCCCTAGATTTTGAGGCCCTAGGCTTGAGCCTGCCAAGCCTATAGGTAAATCCGGCTCTGCCCCCCCCCCCTCGTATAAAATGTAAGCACCCAGTAATATTGTTTAAGAGTGAAAAATACGTCCGTAAACTTAAGAATGTATTCAGGTTATAGCTGGTATATTATTGATACTTCAATATAATCATGGGATTCCTACCACCTATAACAATGACTTAAGACAGATAATAATGACCTAAGATTAACAACGAGAGCCTAAAATAGGGCAGTAGAGTGGTGGGTGGCTGGGACGGTCAGTATCCCTCAGAAGTGTGTCAAGTGAGACTTATTTAAGCGTTCCACTACTCGTTCTCCTGCTGAGGCCACTGCTAGACCCAGGCATATGTTGTCTAGCCAAGTATGTGGTTCACTCATCAACATATTAAGTGTACTTAACTCAAATACCATGAGTGATGATAATAGTTGAGTGAAGGTATGTTAAACGCTATACTCTCCTTATAGTAGTGTGTTCACTCGCATTAAGATTGATGCTGACCAATAAACTCAACTCTGGGAAAAAAAAATGTTTACACGTTTTATGATTGAAGATGAGGAAAAGCTACATAAATTTATAAAAGCCTAAATTTTTAAACAAAATAAACCAAAAAAGAATCAGTAAATCCAACAGCGGGGTATCTCTTCAAAAATGCGCCACGTTCAAACCGCACGCTTTTCATTAGTGGTGTGTGGAGGTATTTCTCCCTCCGTATTTATCTAAAACTAATTCTTTTACCTTGAAAGTTTGCCGAAAACCCATTTTTTTCCATTTAATCTTTTCATTCATTTGTTTAACATACATTTTCTTCTCCGTATGTTAACGTCTGTATAGTTTCTGCCTTGTGAAAAACATTTATATGCTAACTTTTTCTCCCTTATCACCCTTTCGTAAGTTATCATTGCACAGAAGTTGTTCTTGCGTCCTCCCTCCAACCTACACACTACGTTGTAAACCCCACACCACACGTCTGGGTGCTGCTGCTGCTGCTGCTGCCACGCTATACGTTATAAAACCCACACCACACGTCCGGGTGTTGTTGTTGTTGTTGCTGCTGCTGCTACACTCTACGTTATAAAACCCACACCACACGTCCGGGTGTTGTTGTTGTTGCTGCTGCTGCTGCTACACTCTACGTTGTAAAACCCACACCACACGTCCGGGTGTTGTTGCTGCTGCTGCTGGCACACTCTACGTTGTAAAACCCACACCACAAGTCTGGGTGTTGCTGCTGGTAGGACACTACGTTGTAAACCCCACTCCACACGTCTGGTTGCTCCTGCTGTCACACTCTACTTTGCAAAACCCACACCACATGTCTGGGTGTTACTGCTGTCACACACTACGTTGTAAAACCCACACCATAAGTCTGGGTGCTGCTGCTGCTGCTGCACTCTACAGTCTACGTTGTAAAACCCACACCACAAGTCTGAGTGCTGCTGCTGCTGTTGCTGCTGCTGCCACACACTACGTTGTAAAACCCACACCACATGTCTTCATTTTCTTTTCTTTTTTTTTCTAGCAGTTGCTGGTGCCTCTCACTAAGCTAATTTCCTCTTCCTTATTTCATTCACCTTCACTTTTCGCTTCCACCTGATATTATTTCTCTTATGTTCCACACTACTTTTCTTTAATAAATCAAGCTAAAACTATTTAATGACTAAATATGTCTATCTACTAACTCATGCATACCCAAACCTTATCATCCTACTCTAGTCGACGGAATATGAGGCAGGACGGGACACTCACCCATTTTGAAATAAGACATTTGCAAACAATCAGGGAACGTGTAAGGCTTAAACCCATGGCAAGTGGTCAGTGTGTTAACTATTGAGCCAGCTGGGCTCTAATAAGATTCATTCAAGTAGGTATATTTCTATACACCACAGGGAGGTTAGTATGGGCCCACTGTGACCACTGCAGTTTTTTACAGACGAAATTCCAAACGAGTGTGGCTGTGGCCTACTCTTGCCATAGGTTCAAGCCCCACCCATTCGTTGATTTGGTTTATTTTGTAAGTTAGCAGGAAGAACATGCTCCGACATACTTTCACATTTCTTGTAAGACAGCTACTAAAATATGCTCCCCCGTAGACAAACACATCTTATAACAGTAGAATAAACATATTCCGCCATACGCCAGAATAATGGAAGACAAGTCAGTAAGAATCAGAACGAAAGATGATGTGGAAGATGGCAGATTAAAATATGCCTGCCGTTTCACTTCAGACGAATTCATTAGTGAATGTTTCGATAGTGCTTATCATGAGTGTGGAGAATACTGAGCACAAGTGTGATGTGACGTAATAACTAACAAAAAAAGGCACAATACTGTGACTGGAACAATACACAGATAACCCGCACATAGAAGAGAGGAGCTTACGACGACGTTTCGGTCCGACTTGGACCATTTACAAAGTCACACTCAGTGTGAGCTTACGACAAAACGTTGTCGTAAGCTCCTCTCTTCTATGTGCGGGCTATCTGTGTATGTGGTGTAATGTTTCATCTTGTCTCTCGCGCCACATGTAATATCCAATCTATTTTCATTGACACCACAATAGTAGAAAGAGGGAAAGACATTGCAATGCTTACGTTTGCAAACCTTTTAAGCAAGATCATGCTGTTAGGTAAAAGGGCACAAGTGCAAATAATGTGACATTTTATTGTGGCAACGTTTCGCTCTCCAGAAGCTTGACAAAATGTCACATTAGTTGCACTTGTGCCCTTTTACCTAACATATTGTCGATAATTCTAGAAACATTAATACAAGATCATGGTGGCGTACCAATATTAACTAAAGGCCCACAAGGTAGAAATAGTTTCACACTCCCTATATACTCCAAATATACAAGATTTCATTTCATACTTTTAGGTTTTAAGTCCATAAAACTTAAATGCATAAGAGAGACATTCCTGTGATTCTCGTGTGTTTTTAATGAGCAGGTACTTTTTTAATACCCAAGTATGCTTTGGCTATAAAACTAATTCTGAGCTTCTTCTTACAGATATGGCAGAAAGTTGTGGCAGGCCAGTGAGGGGATATTCTTCAGTCTCTAGCAACAACAATGAAGGCAGAGTTCTACCTCCAGTATTAATTAGTACCTCTTAAAATCTGGCAGTATTAAATAACCAATCTTCACAAGCTCTTGCCAAGTATTAACGCACATAAAATGGAAGTTGACAGTATTAGAATATGGTGGTAGCCTGTATTGTGTCATAGGAGTGTTAGTAGAAGAGTACTGTGGAGGTAGTGCAGTGATGGAGCGTCAAGTGCAGTGACTCCTTCAATCTCTCAGCTTCAAAAGGAAACATCAACATCAAGTATCAGTGATATCTATAAAGACAGGGCCTCCGACCATGGTTGTAGATGTGTGTCGTTGGTATGAAACAGGACTCCACGGGTCAGGTCACATGTGACATGACAAGCCACAACTCACCAGCTTACAACACCAGCAAATCGATGTTGAAAAAGCTATTTGTCTGTGTTTCAAAACATTGATACAATATTTTGTTAAGGAATATATCAGTGGAAATTCAGTCACTGGCCCCTCAAAGTCACAAGTTATAGGGTCACTTATGAGGCACTACTTTCCCACTGTCTACCACTGTGTTGGCCTTGTCAACCTCATAATATTAGTGAATTCTATATTCACATTTCCAACAAGATTCTGACCTGTTCCTTAACAGAACTACCTTTCGCTCATGATCTTGACACATCTTGTAAATGTTTAACATTACGAAAGAAATGTAATTTTTTTGTGTTCTATCGCAAGGCAGTCGTAGTACGATAATCAGTAGCTATGCATCCTGGTGGGAACAGTCGTAACTTTCCAAAGAGGTAGGCCGGCCCAGGAAAGAATGGCAGAGATTATCAGGAGGCCGTAAGTGGCGGCGGCCGCCAGCACTGACAGGTGGCGCTCAGTGAGAGTCGCCAAATATACCCAGGGCCCGTCACCAGTGGCAGCTGAGGAGCAAGCAGGGCGCCACCTTCTTCTAACTTAATATTGTTGTCAGTTAGGCTGGCACAGCTTCAGGTGTCGCATACCGCCACGTGGTCAGACCAGCGTCAGCAAGTTAGTAGTGGTGTCCACAGTGTAGGGAGAGAGCACGGGGGTCCGCCACAGAGCGACTGTGGCTTCCGCCCGGTCTGCCACCGCTGCTGCCTCCGCCTGGGGCGGCCAGCGTCTGGCCTCGCATGGCCGCGGTAATGTTCCTACGCAAGGCAATGCGTTACTACCGACTGTGGATCTACACGTGCAATGCCGTCCTGCTCGTGTCAGTGTTCGTTTTCATGGGCGTTGCCTTAGGTGTTGCATCACATCCCTATCTGTCACTAGTGCAAGCAATTCCTGCCTACCACCCTACTTTACTATATGGTTATGTGGCGCTACTGCTTCAGGCAGGAGTCTTGCAGGCACTAGGATGTGTGGGAGCACTAAGACTCTCGCAAAGACTACTCAACATCTACTGGCTTCTTCTGCTTTTCCTGCTGTTGGGGGATGTTGTTGTGGGGCTGGTGTGGCTCTACCGTTTCTCCCACCTGACAGACGGTCTGCGACCTTACGCCCGGGCCACTCTGCTCAAGCACTACGGCAGAGACTCTGACATAACCGAGGCGTGGGATGCTCTCCAGAGATCCGCTAAATGTTGTGGCGTGGCGGGTCCTCGAGATTACAACACCACCTGGTGGGACACCCGTCAGACACATGGCTACATCAAACTACCAGCGTCTTGCTGCATCAAGAACGACAGCGAGGGAGCAATGCCAAGCAGTCGCCAACTTAACTACCCCCAGGCGGACCAAGTGCCACGACACGTGGTTACCTACCAGCGCGGGAAACCCAACGTAGACAATTCGAAACACCATGTGCGTCCAGAAAACCAGGCAGGGCGAGCGTATGAGCGTAACTTAACGTGTGGAGGTGGTGATGACTACCATGGCAAGGGCTGTGCTGCGCACCTCGAGAAGTGGTGCTTAATTCAGCAGAAAACACTCATGATACTCGGATTCTGTGTCATAGCATTTATTAAGTTATGTTTTGTAGGTATTTTACGCTTTGAGATACAAGAAATGATTCAGAAGATAAAAGTATTACAAGGAGATAATCCATGTGTGCCGAATCCCGAAATTGCGGCGGCCTTAGGCTTGATGTCACCGGAGAAACCAGCAGAGTGCGGCGGCCTCTTGAGTTCTGGAGGTGGCGATGGTAACGGCACTGGCGGTGAAGAAGGCCAGGGAGGCGATGGTCAATGTGATACGGAGTCTGCTGCTGCCACGCCCCTCACACAGCCTCGCCTTAACCATCTCTCCAGCCACACTGATGGTGCAGAATCCGACACCAACTCCCACTGTGCGCTCATCACGGATACGCCCGTACGCCGACCACAGCCAGACAAGCGCAAGCCTAACGGCAATAACAACGATGTTACAGAACTGCACGAACTTCGACATGTCCGTCAGACACAAATATGATCATGACCTGAAACCAGCCTGACTGTGAACATATCGTTTAAGGTCGTTACTGCAGCTTAGGTCAGCCCAAAGTGACCTAGGTGAGAACCAGACTCAGCTAGTGTAGAATACTTGTTGAATGTTGTAAATGGCCCGGGGAAACCCTAAAAGGGTGTGCACCTGCCATCCCCACACAAGGAAAATGGAGCCACCCTTTAGCCTTAATTGCCAAGCCCCTGCAGATCCCCTGGGTGTGCCCCTCCAGTTTTTAGGTGTTCTGGGATATCCCCCATGAAAAGGGGCTTCTGCTCGCATGTCCCCCCCACCAAAGAGGATCCTTAAGGTGTTTCCCCCCGGGGGGACCCACGCACGCTACCCCCCAAGGTCTAAAACATATGATTAAAGAATTAAAAAAAGTGTGACAAAGAAACTGACCAAAGATTCGAGTGAATAAAATGGGTAAATCCCCTAAAGAAAAACATCATGCAATTTGAATACTTTGCAAGACTGAGTCCCAAAGCGGGCCCCATCCCCTCCCCCATATGGTGCACTATGTAAGCAACTCTTTCTCCTTCATTTTCTCTAAGAAGTACCAACAAAATTTTTATCATTATAGGTAAACTTTAAGGAATCTTGCTACTGAAGAAGAAAAAAAAAAATTAAGTCTGCGAAAAGCAAAATCTAACAAAACAATCACGAAAATTCAAAGATTTTTTATGAATTATAAAATCGTCTGCGAAAAAACGAGTAAACACTTCCCATGTCCAAGTGTACCTAAGGAGGTTATCATAGGTTTTCACTAGGGAGGTTATACATGGGTGTACACTGGGGGGTTAACATATGGTTACAAAAGGGGGTTAAACTATGGTGTACACTAGGGGGGTTAACGTGGTGACACTAGGGGGGTTTTATGTGGTGTACCTTAGGGGTTATACATAGGGTGCCGGGGGAGGTTATACATGGGTGTACACGGGGAGGTTATACTGGGGTGTACACTAGGGAGTTATACTGTGTGACACTTAGGTTAACATTGGTGTACACTAAGGGGGTTTATACAGGGTGTACACTTAAGGTTATACATGTGGTGTACACTAGGGAGGTTATACATGGTTTACCTAGGGGTTATACATGGGGGTTACACATGGGGGTTTTATACTGGGTGTAACTAGGGGGGTTATAATGTGGTGTACACTAGGGGGTTATACATTTGGTTTACATTTAAGGTTATACATGTGGGACATTTAGGGGTTAACATGTGGTGTACACTTAGGGGGTTTACATTTTACACTAAGGAGGAAAAACAGGGGTGTACATTTGGGGGTTATACATGGGTGTACACTAGGGGGGTTTATACTGTGGTGTACACTAGGGGGGTTTTAACAGTGGTTACCTTAGGAGGTTATCATGGTCATAAGGAGGTTTCTGGGGTCACTTGGGAGTTAACATTGGTGACACAAAGGGATTTTTATACATGTGGTGTACACAGGGGGGTTTATACTGTGGTGTACACTGGGGAGGTTATACAGTGGTTACACAAGCGGGTTATACATGGGTGTACACAAGCGGGTTATACAGTGGTTTTACACTAAGGAGGTTATACATGGGGGTGAACAAAGCAGGTAAAACTGGGTGTACACTGGGGAGGTTATACAGTGGTGCCCTTGGAGGTTATACAGTGGTGTACACTAGGGGGGTTTAAAACATGTTGTACACTAACAGGTTATACATTTGTACCAAAGGGGAGGTTATACAGGGTTTTTTACAGAAAGGGGGTTATACAGGGTGACACTAAGGAGGTTATACATTGGTGTACACTAGGGGGGTTATAATGGGACAAAAAAGGAGGTTATACAGTGGTGTACACTACGGAGGTTATAATGTGGGTACACTAAGGAGGTTATACATTGGTGTACACTAACAGGTTAACAGTGGTGTACACTAAGCGTTTACATGTGGTTGACACTAAGGAGGTTATACATTGGTGTCCCAAAAGCGGTTATACGTGGGACACTAAGGAGGTTATACATGTGACACTAACGGGTTTATACATGTGGTGTACACTAACGGGTTTACATGGGTGTACACCAGGGGGTTTTTCATGGGTGTACACAAAGCGGGTTATCAGGGGTGTCCCAAAAGGAGGTTATACATGGGTGTAAACTAAGCGGTTATACATTGGTGTACATAAGGGGTTATACTGTGTGTACACTAAGGAGGTTAACATGGGTGACACAAAGAAATTTATACATTTGGGTACACTAAAGGAGGTTATACATGGGGTGTACACAAAGGAGGTTAACATGTGTACACAAAAGCGGGTTATACATGTGGTGTACACTAACAGGTTATACATGGGGTGTACCTAAGCAGGTTATGCATGTGGGAACTGAGCAGTTATACATGTGGTTACACTAAGCGGTTTTATACTTTGGGGGTTACACTAAGCAGGTTATACATTGGTGTACAAAAGGAGGTTACATGGGTGTACACAAGCAGGTTTTAACATTGGGTCACTAAGGGGGTTATACATGGGGTGTACACTAAGCGGGTTTAACATTTGGTGTACACTAAGGAGGTTATACATGGGGTTACACTAACTTTATACAGTGGTGACCTAACATTAACAGTGGTGTACACTAAGGGGGTTATCTTGGGGGTGACACTAAGGAGTTAACATGGGTTACACTAAAGGTTAACTGGGGGTTTACACAAGGGGGTTTATACATGTGGTGTCACAAGTAGGTTATACTTTGGGGTGTACACTAAGGGGTTTATACATGGGTGTACACTAAGGGGGTTTTAAAATTTGGTGTACACGAGCTTTTAAAAAAAGTGGTGTACACTAAGCAGTTAACATTGGTGTACAAAAGGAGGTTATACGTGGTGTAACCAAAGCAGGTTACAGGGTGTACACTAAGGAGGTTATACTTTTGGGTGTACACAAGAGGTTATACATGTGGTTACAAAAAGGAGGTTATACTTTGGGGTGTCCTAAGGGGTTATACGTGGTGTACACAACAGGTTTCATGTGGTGTACACTAAGCAGGTTATAATGGGTGTCACTAAGAGGTTATACATGTGGTGTCCCATAACAGGTTAACATTTTTGGTTACACTAAGCGGGTTTTTACTTCATGAAGAATGATAAATTAATATTAATAATAAATCTTGCCAAAAAGAAAGACTAAAGGGCCTTAAATTACTTTCACTTGAAGACGAAGACTGAGGGAACTGACGAAGTGTATAGGGGAGATGGTATTTTAACAAAGGGATATAAAAAGGTCCCTCCATGAAGAACCCCCAAATAATGAATGCAAATTAGATAAGTTTGATTTTGAAAAAGGGAAAAGGGAAAAATTTGGGTTTTGAAATGATATTCGAGATGGGAAAATTCTGCCTATTTGGGTTACCAAACTAAAACCTTTGGGGAGCTTTAAATTTTGGGTTGGGAAAAACATGATTGAGAGGGACGAATTTAGTGGGAATGCACAATTAAAAGGGAAATTTAACCTTATTGCGTAGCTGAACTAAAAGTGTTTGGGAAAATTTTTTTTTTATGGGTTTTGGACTTGATAAGTATCTGCCCCTCTGGGGCCAGTGGCCTGCTGCAGTTTTTCCTCATTTCTTTGTTTTATAATAATTTCTTTTCTCCCCATACTCACATATTTCCAAAAATCATTCTGGCACATCTCTTTTCTAACAATTTTTTCTACACTTTACCCAAAAACACCCACACATGAATCGTCCCACCCTAACGCCACCCCACCCTAAAAATCGTCCCACCCCCTAACCCCTTTAAACCCCCCAAAAAACCCCGCCCCCCATAAACATCACCCCACCCCAAAAGCTCACCCCACCCAAACACTCGTCCCCCCCATAACACTCCCCCACCCTAACACCGTCCCACCCAAACACTTCCCACCCATAACACTCACCCCCCCCAAAACACTCCCCCACCCATACACTCACCCCCCCCCATAACACTCACCCACCCAAACGCCCCACCCCACCCCTAAACTCACCCCACCCATAAACCACCCCCCCCCCATAACACTCGTCCCACCCCAAAAAAATCCCCACCCCTAACACTCACCCCCACCCATAACACTCTCCCACCCATAACACTCGTCCCACCCAAACAAACCCACCGGGGGAAATAAATGGTATAAAAAACCGACACAATGAAAATAAACCTGCAGTATAATGGATCCTTTATTGACAACGTTTCGCCCACACATGGGCTTTTTCAAGTCACAAACAATCTACCTGGGGGGGAAGGTACGCGAGTATTTTTGTCAGGTTCAGAATGCTGAGGTCAGGTGGAGAATGTTGCATCTGATGATGTACCGAGTGGGGTTATAGAGTCTAAAATCTTGAGTAGCTTGGAAGGATGATTGATAAGTTTGTGAGCGACCTTCTGCAGTGTTCTTCCATTTTCCCATGTTCTTATGTGGGATAGCGATGAAGAAGTTTCTTGGCAAATGGTTCAGCTATGTTAATAGAAGCCATTGTCTGGGTGAAATTGTCGGTATAGAGATAAGCGATATTCTAGGATTTTTCGGTATTGGGGTGTTTCTTTTGTGGCGATAAGTCTTGAGTTTTTTGTATTTATTAAGTGGTTGTGTGAATTACGATGTTGTACACAAGCATTTCTTGTATCGTCAGTCCTGCTTGCGTATTGGTGTTCTGAAATACGTGTTTGGAGGTCTCTTGATGTTTCGCCCACGTATAATTTGCTGCAGTCATTACAAGGGATTATGTATACCCCTGCAGAGGATGGAAGCTTGTCCTGTCTATTACTGGTAATGTCCTTGATGGTCGTGGTTGTGGAGGTAGATACTTATATTGAGGTATTGGAAAAGATGTTGGAAACGTGTTTGGCAAATGTTCCACATTCCACAACAAAATTGTTCCGCACTCGACTGTAACTTGTTCCACACTCCACACTAACTTGTTCCACTCTACCTTGTTCCACACTCCACGATAACTTGTTCCATACTTCACACTAACTTGTTCCACACTCTACACTAGTTTCACACTCCACGCTAAGTTGGTCCATGCTAACTTGTTCCGTACTCTACACTAAATTGTTCCACCCTCCACGCTAACTTGTTCCACACTCCACGTTAACTTGTTCC